ACCCATAGCGACCCTGTACAGGGTTTCCGAGGGTGTAAGTCTTTACGGGAGTAGAAAGCCTCATCTTTCTCCCGCAGAGCAGCTAGTAGTTTCGAACCGCTGACCTTAAGGTTCACAGCCCGATTCGTAACCACTACGCTACCAGAGCTCCTTTAGCACTCAAAAAATACATGTTGAATTGAACTATCATAGGAATGAATTCTGAGGTGTCAGGTATGTTGATTCCATTTACTCATTCCTCCATTTACAGATATGTAACAAATGTTCTAGACACTGACAATGGAGCAATGAACAGAACTTCTTGCTTTCATGTAGCTTTCATTCTAGTTAAAAGGAATCAGTATTAATGAGGGAGGGGGGGACGACAAAGCAGAGAAGGGGACACTACAGCTATGACTGTAAAATATACAAGCATTATGCAAGTGGCTATTTTAAATCGTAAGGTTGGCGGTTCAAGCTCACCAGCTGCTCCTTAGAAATCCTACATAGGGTTGCCATGAGTTGGACTCAACTTGACAACACTTAACAACAACAACAATATAGAATCTAATATATTCATTAGGTAAACAAAACATCTGATGTGTACTTACTAAATGCTAAAAGATACTTAACAAACAAATATCTAAATTAATACATAATTATGAATTATAGTTAAGTGTATTAAGAAAAAATAAGGGGGACTCTGCTATTTTAAATGGGATGTGAAGGAAAACCAATGCAATGGAAAGATACTGGAAGAATTTAAGTTGGGCAATATAAAGATAGGGGAAGTGGAGCTGACACATTGTGATTTATGATTTATCAAGTTTACCCAGGCACCTCTGAGAGGGATAACAACAACAGGAGGAATTAATTAAAATACTACAGTAGTACTCCAGGAAATAAATGAGCATGTGAGCATGCCTTGAACTATTATGGTGGCAGCAGGAATAGGAAAAAGTGCAACAGTTTTGGGATACTTTTGAAATATAAAATCAACAGTGATAATCTAAAGGTAAAAGCCTTCAGCATGTAAGTGAATGTAAAGAAATATTTCTTTAGATGGTCAGAAAAAGAATTACAAATGAATTAATATTCATCTGATAAGCATTACCATGCTAAGTGATTTGGGTCAGTAAATAAGGAAAAGAGTAAACAAACATGAAACCCTTTTGGAAACAGAAAAGATATTTCAGTGCTTCAGAAAATATTTCTATGGGTGTCTGTCATTCTATAAAGAGCTCTGGTAGCGTAGTGGTTACAAGCTGGGCTGTTAACCTTATGGTTAGTAGTTTGAAACTACCAGCAGTTCCGCAGAAGAAAGAGGAGGCTTTCAGCTCCTGTAAAGATTTACAGCCTCGGAACCTCTGTGCGGGGACCACTCACAGCATACTACCACCACCACCGTTTCATTCTATTTTTAAAAATTAAGTCTGTGACATACAATAATCAATATTTTTTTTCCAAATCACTTAAGTTTCATGAACAAAGGTTAATTTCTGTTGGGGTGTGTGTGTGTGTGTGTGTGTGTGTGTTTTCTCTAAATCCTTTAATGTGCCTTGTTGTTGTTGTTGTTATGTGCCGTGGAGTCGATTCCGACTCATAGCGACCCTGTACAGGGTTTCCGAGGCTGTAAATCTTTACGGGAGCAGAAAGCCTCATCTTTCTCCCGCGGAGCAGCTGGTAGTTTCGAACTGCTGACCTTGAGGTTTGCAGCCCGATTCGTAACCACTACGCTACCAGAGCTCCTTTTAATGTGCCTTAGCATATCAAAAAAAAAACAAATAAAGATGTATGGAGACAAAAGAAAAATGATTTCTTTGTTGCACTCATAGAATTGGAATTAATACCATGTGCATATCCTTCATATATTAAAATGTATTTTCTAGCATATTTTACATCTGATCAGTTTAGAATCTTTTCCTGTTAATGCAAATTTAATGGTACTGTATTTCACATACTAATTAGTTTCTGCTATGAAGATAAGGTATGCTCAAGCTGAAAAGTAAACACAGATGCCAATAATTTTTAATTACAGTTAAAAGCAACATGTCAAAACAAAAGTTAAAAGCAACAGCGGTAAAACTTAGTGACTAAAACAATGTGATGCTTTTGAAAAACCCATTTATCATAATTATAAGTGAAGAATGTAAAAAATGCCTGAGTATACAATATAAATATGATGTTTTCACTAAAAGGTGTTTGAAATACAGATACCCATCCACAATAAAATACTAAATAATGAATATTTTCAAAAATGAATTTCTTTTATAGAAAAAAGTTTTAGGGGGAAATGGGAAATTATTTCTTGAGGGAATGAGGCAGAATAGTCTTCTTTCTCATACTGACTTCCCAATTCTTTTAATTTATCACTGGTTTTCTATTACACATGAACTAACAGTCTCTCTTCATCTGCCCTATGTACTGTTTTGTGCTATGTGGGGTCTGTTTGTTTTGGGGGTGGGAGAGGGGAGGAGATGGCAGAGAAGTACACCAAGGTGTCATCTCCTTCAATCCCTGTAGCAACTGGACAAGGTCAATTTTATCAACCCCATTTTATATGAGGAAACAGGTTTGTGGAAGTTAAATTGCTTAACTGTAGGTGGAAGAGTAAGTATTTATCCTTGTCTCAGTACAACGTTAACATCATTTTCACATCAAAACACCATTTCCCATCTTCAGTTTAGGGTCTGCTTACGAAGGTACTTTCAATCTGTTAACACTGTTTTGCTCATCCTGATTATAAGACTAGAAGTCACGATTCCATCTAGAAGCTAACTGAAATCAAGATATACTGTGTCTAAAGCATTTCCTTCAGTCTCTCTGGGTATACAGAGTTTGCACTCTGGTGTGGCGCTGTGGGTTAATGCGCCAGACTGCAAAGCCATTTAAACTGCAAGGTTGGTGGTTCAAGCTCACCAGTCACTCCTCAGAAACCCTATACAGGATAGCTATGGATTGGAACCGACTCGACGGCACTTAACAACAACACTAACCAAAAAGTTGGTGGTTCAAGTCTATCTGGCAGCGTTGTGGAAGCAAGGCCCAGTGAGCCTCTTCTATAACGAGTAAAGACAAAACACAGAAACAAAATCACTACTATGGAGCACTTCTACTCTTCAACACGTGAGGTCGCCATGAGTCAGAATCGGCTCTGGGACAACTAACAACAACAAAGTCCAGAGGAATAATTAAGGTCTAGCAGTTTGGAAAAAAAGGAGGACATGGATCAAGTTGTTACATTGGCATACTTTATTCTTAAACTACAATGACTACACCAGTGATCATTATTTACTTTTTCTATCTTTACAAGCCATATGCTAGCAACCTATATTTTTTCAGAGGAGAGATGTCACACTTATCAATCTCTAAATTTCTAGGATCTCACTTCCCCCCACCTTTTGAAAAATGTGCACTAGCCCGGATGCTGACTTCTAATATTTCTCCCACTCTCCAGCTGTCAGACTGTCTTCTCATTGAGACTGGATTTCTATTTCTATCTGTTTTTCAAGACTTTTTTCCTTTATGGAGAAAATGAAAACACAACTTTCTCTGTTAGCTATGAAAACTATGTCACCTTTCTAAACTATTGTATTTGATACTCTGTTCTTGAGGTTTCTGTTGCAAATATTAGTTGGATGGAATGCTGAATGAATTTCTTTATCTTCTATTATGACATAGTCATATTGAACCCTAGTCCTTCCTTAAAGAGTATGCTGCTTGTCTGTACTGTTCTTCTTTCCTCCTGCCTCTCCCAATTCCTATTATTATAGTAAGTCTATATTTACTGTCTCTTTATATTTCACACGCAAAGAAAACGAAATCACATAAGCATGCAGACTAGCACCATTACGATTTCCCCTCCAGACCCAACTAATCTTCTGGCGATTTTCCACCCATCTTTACTTAGACCACACTTTAACTCCCTAGTATTATTGTTTCCAATCTGTTCCAGGTCTCCTACCATGCCTGAAATGGTTTAAGCATTCAAACATAATGTTGAATGTACACATTTTAACCCTGCAAGGTTATTTTGCCAAGTTAAGCTGCTGGGATTTGAACCCAGGGCTGTTTTGACTTTCAAGCCCAGAAGCTTTTCTTAACTTGTCTCTATTCTCAACATCAGTGCATCACAATTTCAAACTGTGATCTTAATTCCTACTCAGAGAGAATAGAAGTTACTAATAATGTTTTACATACTGAATCATTTCCTCCTCCTGAAAACATGTTCTTCTCTTGGTTTCCAGAATATCTCAATCTCTTAATGTTCCTCTCTCTTCACTGGTTGTCTTTTTATCGATCTCTTGCTAGTTCCTATCTACAAGTCTTTCTTCTAGGAGAACCTTGGGCCTCAGCCTTCAGTATCGTCTCTTCGCTAGGTATTCTCGTTCCCTTGGTGACTCCAATCACATGAATGGCTCTAAGGTAGGCCATATGAGGATGGACATCGCATTTATACCTCAAGCCCAGATTTCTTCTTGAAACTCAAGAAACACTTATCCAATATGAAGCTAAATAATGGATGTCTCAAACCTGGGATAAATTAAAAAACACCAAATTGAAGAAATTCAAAACTTGATTCCTCGTCTGCTCTCAAAAACACAAGTTTTTCCCACAGTTACCTCTATTGCAATGAAAGACACCATCATCTTTCCAAACTACTCAAAAAGCTTGAAATAATCTTCAATTCCTTCTTTTCTCTTATACCTTAGATTTGACTCTATGTCAAAAATAGATTCACCTGCATCACGACCTTTCATTGCAACTACCCTACTGTAAGCTACTATCAACAATTACTGGGAGCATTGCTATTAAATCTTAATCAGCTCCCCTCTTACAGCCCAGTTTATTCTGAACAATACATCCAAAGTGATACAATTTAAAAAAATTTAAATCAGATCATGTCACTCAGCTGCTTAAAAACGTCCAATGACTTCAAATTTCGTTCAGAGTAGAAACCAATATTCTTACAATACATACAAGGACCTAAACAATCCCCCTACATCCTATGATACTCTTATTCTATATCAGTCATGCTAGACTAAGGACAGACTAAACATACTCCTGTTTTGGGACCTGCTGAGTTGCTGGTCTATCTGGAACAATCTTCCTGCCAGCCAGTTATCTGAATGGTTTATTTCCTCAACTCTTAAAATCTTCGCTGAAATTTCACTTTCTCATTGAGACTTTTTAAGATTCATCCTATTGATACCTGCAAAACCACAAAATCAGAACTAGGACTCTTCCTTATTTCCCTATTCTGCTTCATTTTTCTTACATACTATGTTGTAGTTGTTAAGTGCCGTCAAGTCAGTTCCAACTCATAGTGACCTGGTGTAGGGTTTCTGAGGAGCAGCTGGTGAACTATATGACTTACTAATTTATTATACGTCTCCTAATTAGAATGTAATGTACACAAGGGATGGAGCTTTTGTCAGTTTTATTCATTCACATAGCCTCAGTGTCTACAAAGTTACTGTTAAAATGCCGTCAAGTGGGTTCTGACTCATAGTGATCCTGTTCAGGGTTTCCAAGGAGCAGCTGGTGGGTTTGAACTGCTAACCTTACAGTTAGCAATCCAGCGCTTATTCTACAACATCTCATCACGACTCCACAGTACCTAGCAAACAATTAGGAGCTCAATATATACTTGTCAAAAGAACAAATGAAAAAGTAATGAATGAATGAACAATGGCTTAATTACATGCTGCTAAAGAATGGTAGAAGCATCATCAACTGCAGGAAGCAAACTCAGAATACAAATCAATGAAGTTACACTTCTAATAACACAATGACAGCTGATAAAGGTACAGCTTGACATCATTTAGTAAGTGGCAGAACATATTAAACTATACTACCTCCTAGAAAAATATCAGTTTAATTAGAAAGTGTCAGATACTAAACTGAATGCATATTCGAATCCTCATAATATCCCTGTACAGTAGGTTTTATTCTACTAATTTTACAAATCAAAAAACGATGGCTCTGCTGAACTGTTCAGCATATTGCAAGATACTTTACACACTTGGCCTTTACCTGGTAACTATCAGTACATCTCTGCTCCCGGCATCTCCCAGTCATTTTGATAAGTAAAAATGCTCCCCACAAACATTTCCAAATGTTCCTAGGGAAGTGGTACTCTTAAACATAATGCTTATTAAAGGTCAGTAGGGGGCAGGATGAAAAGCTAAGATGTGAACTAGGTCTGGCTGAATCCAAAGCTGATGTTATTTCAAACTAAACAAAGACTTGTGAAGGGGCTGAGATTAAAATCAATGAACAAAGACCAAGAGAACACATTTTCACAAAACAAGTGAAAGGTAGTCTATAAAGTATAACAATGAAGATATCACTAGTTGAATTAAGCAAAGCACAACATGGAATGATTTGAAAAGTCTATCAAATTTTTAAACTGAGGTCATTGAGATTCAACTCAGAAAACCTGAGTGAGAACTGGCCTCATTAACATGTGAATTTTTGTACAGGTCTAGGATGGATAAAGTTATAGGGAGTGGAAGTTCGCAAGACCTCTTAGAAGAATTTCAAAGATTATCATTGTTTCTGGTTTCACCATTCCATTCTAGTATTTTCAAATCTGTCTAGGATGTTTATCCATCTAACATCATCTATTACAAGCTCTATAATTTATGGGTATAAATAGTAAAAAACACTTTATACTATTCTAATGACTAGCATGAAAATTAGGAACATTGGGAAGAAATATTAAAAAGAATCACTAATAGAGTGACATCATAAATTATAGCAAAAAGATTCTCTCAAACACCTAAACTTAGAATAAACATCTCCATTCATCAAGGAAGTAAAATACCTTTAATATATAACATTCAGATAATATTATAAACTTCTAAAAAATGTTAAAATTATAAATAAATATTGAAACACAGATATTAGTGCAGTGGTAGCCTACAATCAATCTTTTAGTTAATGGAATTTGTACATTTTAGTGTGCATAAACATGTACATTCATAAGCATGTACACAAACGAAAATGGCAAACAAAACTCTAGTCATCAAAGTTACCTTTGCAATAATAACTTCTTTCTTCAGAATCTTCATAGCATAATATTTCCCACTTGCCTTTTCTCGAACCAAAATGACTTTCCCAAAAGTGCCTTTTCCTAGTAGTTTCAAATAGTCAAAATCATTCATTGTCTGGAAAACATAAATTAAGCAATATGAAATACTTCAAACAATTTATTTGTAAAAATAAATGCACATCTTTGCAATATTCAGTCAAAGCAAATTTTACCAGTTTCTAAACAACTTAAATGATTAAGAATCACACGCTATTAGCTGTCTCATCCCAGAAGTTGGAAAAATTTTAAGCAATTTTCAGATATTGGTGAAAATTATTATGAAGCTAGAATTCATTAGCCAGTAAAATTACAGGCCAAGTATAAGGGTAAAAAATTATTTTCAAGGGTTATAGTAGTGCTTCTCCTCCTAGGCAATGTGATAAGCAAAAATGTCCCCCACCAAGCTGCCCAAATGTGCCAAGTGAAGCAATACTTTTGGAAACAATTAGTTACAAGTATAATCCAGCAGGACAAAGATGAAATCCAAGAAAGAGAAAGATGTGTATAAAAGAAATGCTGAAAACAATCTTGGAGTCCAGAAAAAATAAATATAAGAAGGACATCAGAACAATTTCTGAGAAAGCAACTTGTACAAGTCAGAACAGGAAGTCAGGCAGCTCTAAGAACATCTTCAATTATTCTTCCCACTTGCACTTTGATTTTTTTATTCCCTGCTTTGCTTTGTCTACCAACACTCTTCCACACTTATCCATTAATGTACAACCCTGAAGAACAGTAACATAGTTCTTCATTTTTGTTACACTGTTCTTTTCAAAATCGCTTTACAATCATTTTAAGGGCTTTGTGAAGAAAGGGGATATAAATACGTGTGCTCAGTTGACCACTGTTGCCGTTGTTGTTGTTAAGTACCGTGGAGTCAGTCCTGACTCATAGTGACAACACAGGGTTTCTGAGGCTGTAGATCTTTACGGGAGTAGACCACCTCATCTTTCTCCCA